TGGGAAGAAGGTTTAAGAAAAAAAAATGTCTAAAAATCATAATTTAAGCAATTAAAAATCATCTTTTGCTGTAAAAAGTTAAGTCTCAATAACATTACATATTGTGAGATAATTAAGTATGAAGATGTTATCAAAAAATAAACTTTATAATTAATTTATTACTTCAATTTAATGTGAGTATCAAGACTAATTCAAGTGGAGCCTGTCAAAAATCCTCCTCAACTCACATTCATTTCCAATTTCATATTGTTGACTTAAGCTTAAATAGACTCAAACACACTTTAGGCCTACTCTTTATTGAAAGGGATCAGAAAGCGAGTTTCCGTTTGGCTCAGCATGTTTGATTTTAGCTCAACTGGCAGCCAAAGAAAGTACGCCTCGTAATTGTAGCCAATCAGTACCTTTTTCATACCTCTCCAAGGTAAGTAAAGAGTTGTGTAGGGGATACTGTTAACTATATGTGTGACTCCATAATAAGATTACTTATTAGTTATTTCACGCTCACTAAACAGACCAAACCATACAACTGGTAGGCACAGTTTCTTCTTTCTTTCCAACAATTCTGTCCATTCCTCCCATCATAGTTTACCAAAATTTTCAACCTCTTTCGAACAATTTCTGTTGTTGTTCACTTCATTTATTAGTTTCATTGAACCAACAATGGGTTTCCAAATGACGAACTTAACAGTGGTTCATCAATACAAATTTAATGCTTTCACTTCAATCCTAACTAACTTCTTATGGTGGCTACTAAAAATTATACTCAGAAAACAATAGCTTGATTCTACAATATGTTCCTATAAGGAATGGGAACGAGGGAGAAACCTAAAGCTCACTTCTGTCATAATTGAGATAAAAAAAAATTCACAGGCAGTAATACAGATGCAAATTCAAGGCTGAATGAGATCTTTAAACAAATTGCATGACTAAAAGATAACAGTTAGCCTACACTTCAAAAACCTTTAATAAGATAATTTCTATCGTATTGTGCAAAAAGACAGACTAAATGCATGAACTCTTTTTAAAGCTAATAACCAAAAAAAAATGCCAGATATACTTGGGGCAACGAACACTAAACAAAAAATTATCTTCCATGACCTAGTTTGTGTAACCACCAACATGACAATTTCTGTCCTACTGTCCACACAGACCGACTAAATGCA